CCCGATAAATAAAGGAGCGGCTCTCACTCCAAGTAGTAAATATAAATCAAGGAGTGATTGGATGTAAGCGCGAGTTCGGTGGGTATACGGATATATCGAAGGGGAAAAGGTGCGCTGTTATGTGTCCCCAGCGTCCCGTGTGCGGCCTACTCCCAAGTAATTTTTGCGAGAAAGGCCTATCTTCTTACTTCTCTCCACAAAGAACGTTTTCTTCTTGGCGAGATTGTACGTAGAGTCTGCTCCCCCGCTTGCGCTATGGCTATTTAACTTAGCGAACAAAGTGTTATTTTCGTTGCAACGTTCGTTAGCATGATTGTTTTCGACTGGGGTTTCATTTAGTCGACGAGTTGTCGTCCAAATTCACGGTGTAATTCGTCTGTCGGCCGTCAGGATTTCGACACCAAAAACACGACTTTAACCGACGTAAAAAAACCTTTGTTCGTAATAACCCAACCCAGTTCCAGTTGCGCAGAAACTTGACGACAAAACAAAACTGGTTTCTTATGCCATCACAAAACCGTAAAATCAAACAAATCGCCTGGGTAATTCCAACTGATCCAAAGTCAAGACAATTCTGAAGCCAAAAGGCAACTCGTCAAGCAAGACATATTAGCCTTCCATCTCAATGGAGAGAACATCATTTCCCCGAGTACACGAGCGCGCATTGCGTGGGCGCGTACAGGGCAGCGTTGATCGATGTGCCGTGTAACTCGCTTTTTCCTCCCCTCTTACGCGCACGTGAATCCAACCTCGCCACTGTCATTTGTCACGAGCTACACCGATATTCTCTATTCCCGATGCTGCATGTATACGATGTTTTATCAGTTTATTTATGTCTGCGGAGAATTGAATGCTGATGGTTAATGCTGATTTGTGATGCTTTGCAAAGAACAAAAAAAGGGCTTGGTCAATAGTCCACTTCCATAACAACTTTTCTTCTAGCGATGATCTAAGTACGAGCTCGACAGAAAAAAGTTTGACCCTTTGCGATGACATGTGCGTGTATACTCTAACTTCAACTTTGACTTATCTTAAATACACATTTGAACTTGGAAGCGTTGGTTGTAACTGAAAAAAGGATGAGAAAATTTGACACAGCGATGCGGTGAAAAGAGAGAAATGTAGCGCTCGTGCTCCTTGTAGTAAACTTATAGTTCATAGCTATGTAATCTCGTTGCGACATGTAGAGAGTAGTGGGTTCCGCGCTACATCTGCAAATTGACTGTATATATTAGGGTCACAATGCTTGCAGACGTTTTATTCCAGTTCGACTTTTAATTGAAAATCAATGCTCGCGCGCACTTGCTCTTCGTCGATGTTTGTTATTGAAAGCATATAATGTCAACGTATCGTGTTTTATGCAAGCTTGCACACGCGCAGTTTAATATCGTCTGACTGTCGTATGAATTATTCGCATGGAAATTTCAATCAGCGTTTTCTGCTCACCGATAACGTTGATTTCACTCGACATCCGTGATCGAATAACGTCTTTGATAATTTCATTGCAGTCTCTAATCACATAAGTGCATCGTGGATAACCTAACAGGAGTTACAAATCAATTTGGTTACTTATCAAGCGAAGTAATCGATCAATCCACGTGTATTTTCCGATTGTGTCGATTTCAAAAGAAGAAATGGAAAGCAATCAATCGTTCCAAAAATAAACTTGTGTCGCTTGATCATTGCGAGTTTCCAAGCAGCTAACGGAAAGAAAAATCAAAATCAACGTCGCATGCGGTGTATTTTATTTCCGGTGGTAAACCAATATTTGATGGATTTGATCCTCCGTTAGGAAAAAAGATGCAGCGTCACTTGCACGTGCACAGGGAGAGAGGGAGAGAGAGACGACAAGTGGACACACACTAACACACAACTACTAGAACACATATAATTAATGTCAGGCCTGTTTGCCCGATACACGAAAGGGGTAGTGTGGGTTGCATTTAGGTAGTAGTAGGGTCGTCGGATTATATAATCGATACGTTACTACTGCACCTGTGCCTCTCTCTCTCTCTTTCCCTGCCGCAGAGAGCTTCCGGATGCTTCTGCAATGCTGTCGGCTTACACAATACTATCTTTTTAGAAAGATAAAGAAAAAAGCGATGATCGATCTATCGTCTATATACGACTTGTGGTTCATCAACAGCGATTTCCGTCAGTGCTAATGCGATTTGTTGAGCAAGAGAAATAAGAATGCTATTCCAGTTTTATAATTAAACTTTCTATAAAATTAGTACGCTATATCGACCTTTCAATTACTCGCTGCTAAATTCGAATAAATTTAACTCTCGCAGCAGCGGCTGCACAGCGAAGGTCAAGTCTCAATTCTCATCGTGTATTTTTGTATAAATTAACCTAGATAACGCGCGCCGAATTTAACTTGGAGAATCCCGCGAGGAGATCTAGCTGAGCGTAAAAAATGTTATTCAAACTGTTTGACTTGTAACAAGAATTGACCACGCCAAGTAGTGGGTAGTCGCAGAAGAGCTGTGCTTTGGAGGTACGCTCGATGCATATTCATGAAGCCGTCGAAAGTTTGATCGACTCTGACCCGAAGGTTTGGCGTACAGTTAAATTGGGGAACTGCGTTATGGCAAAGCTACTCGTACTTTGTGCTGTTTTCAGCTGCAACGTTTACGTTCAACTGCGCGTGCGATGAATAAAAATCGATGTTCGATTCAGAAACGATGAAAAATAAAGCGCTGAAGCTTAATAAACACGAAAGTTGCAGACCTATCGGTTTCTCCGCGTCAGCGGGGTAAAAGGCTTGAGATGATAAATGAGGCTTATCCTAAAAGTTAAGTAATGTCGCGCGTTGGTTGCATGAGGTATACTGCTAGTTAGATTGTTCCTCTTGTTCAAATGATGTACTGTACAGGGAATAGAGTCGACTCACTGACTATCCGAATTTATATTTAAACGCCTATTTACAGCATCTCTCGCGTAACGTTCTTGCATGCATGTTTCTATCAAACGCGATGTTTCTCACCGATAAAGTGATCGTTACCCGAAAATAACGGGTTTAACACGTCAATCAACTGCAGACTGAAATTTGTTTCATCTGGAGTTTGTGCCATTGGCGAAAATAACAAGCATAACTTAATAGAAAAGGGAAGGTAAACGCCATCATATCTTGTTAGAGCAATTGATTAAAGCATGACAAGAAAGTTGTCTTGAAATCGAGAGAGAGAAGATCCAATCTGACAATGTGTCGGAATAGAAGCGGTACGGATACAGAGGCGAAACGGAGAAATCGGAGAGACAGCGATTACGTTGAATCGGCGTTATCGGCACATTGTAGTCTCTCTCTCTCTCTCTATTTCCTGTGTATACCGGTGTAATCTCATCTAGCTACTCACTCTTCTGTTCGCTTGACGGTTTTTATCCTATTACGTCACATGAATAAACTAAGGACTTTGAAGGCCGCGCCAAGAGAGAAAGAGAGAGAGAGAGAGAGAGAGGGTGTGAGAAGGGGGTGGTGCTGCTGCTGTGTGACACTGACAGAAGAAACTAGGTCTCTCTTTGTCTTGTGTGTAAGCTGCTTCCGTTGACTTTTTTTGTTTCATTTTGTGAGTTTTCTTTTGCTTGGTTGAGCAATGCTTCGAAGGGAGAATGAAATATAGTTTTTTAAGAAATCACAAATATGACTGTATTTTGTGTATATCATAGAAACTTCTATACACAGGGTCCATTTTTCAATAAAATTAATCCATCGATAAACCTACTCTAGAAATAATTTAGTTTCGTAAAAGTACAATTGATAGTGTCACAACAATGCGTGAAAATCAAATTATTCGTGTTTTCTTTTTTTTTTCTTTTAGTCACACGTAAGAGTTAATACTCAACGATATTTTTATTAATACGTAAATTAATTCGTATAATCATCGAAATTCAAAGCCATGTTTTCACGGTTAACTTCAACTTTCAGTTAAGAAAACGTATCAAGTCAGAAAATACAACGTGTAAACACAAAATCTCGTCATTATTAACCTATTACGTTGTGCGTGAAAAATTGATTGAATCATAACATAATAATCGTGAAGCTAATATAAAGAGTTATCGTTAACAAATACGTAATCCATGTTTTGATTGCGATTTCATTTTGATATGTTGAATATTGATAATTTTTAGTGGTAATTGAAAAGCATAAAACATTCGGAACTTTTAGTAATACGGTAAACTATGGTCAAATTTAAGAAGAAATTAACGGTTTTCAATCCAGTTTATAATGATGATATTGTTGAAAATGTCAATGTAAAACAAGATAAATATATTTTTGAATCAGTAAATCATATCGGATGGCAACATAAAATTACAATATTCTATATACCAAAATGGAATCCAATTGACTGTTCGTTAAACAACTTCACCGTCCATTACAAATGACAAAATTCAGCGGATTTTTCAGTAATCAGAATAGAATAAAAATTACATTTAATGGGCCAAGTGCATCATTTTCCAATTGAAACGATGCTATAAATTAGGAAAGCAGCAAAGTAACTTAACTATTCTTATATCGTACTTTGATCAAATGTGAGTTGATATACGTTACTTTCTCTGTTATTGTATTACATAATTAAATAGCTTTTTATGTGCCGAAGGTCTGGTGTAAAAAATTAATTAGTAACAAACAACGTCGATTTATTTGGTTAGTAATTGACACAAGATTTTATACTTTGAAAACGTAGTTCGTCAAGGCACAAAAGAATAATTGCTAGCGTTTGGCGGTGATTTGCAAGCAATCGCAGATGCGATTCGTGTTAAACAAGTACTTGCAGAATATTTTCTGGGCCTTTTATTCTTCAATAAATACGAGCGAAGCAATGGTATGTGGAAAAAATCTTGTTTCTTACATAAAAACACTGTGAGGACAGAATTTGTTTCGGGTTAGAAGTAAAACTTGCTGTTCCCGACGAATGTCATACGATTCAATACGGAAGTAAAAACGTGAACAAGTAGAGTTCGACCGCCAACAAAGTAAAAATAAGGAGCGAGCTTACCGTCGGATTAGGCATACAACGTCTCGGTGGTGGCGCCATAGGATCGGGCGCCGGTCTGTACGATGGTGGCGAATACGGCCTACCCGATGGGAAGCATCCAGGCGCCGAAATCGGCGTGCCGTGCAACCCCTTGCTACTCATCATCTTATCCGGCGAGTACATCATTTTTTGTCCGTAAAACTCTCTAGCAGTATGTTAACGAAAAGAACTAAGAAAATAAAAGGAAAACAACAAACAACAAATAACAATACGTCGCACTCCCGGAAAACAAGCAAAGTCTCTCCCTCGGCTGCCCGTCGAACGAACTCTGTCTGTTTCCGCAGCAGCACGGCAAACAAACAACGGACAAGCGCAGGGCCGAGTTACGAAGACACTAGCACGACGGCTAACAGCCGCCTCGACGAGTCCTTCCTCATGAGTCGCTGCTCGTGTCGATGACCGCGTACCGAGGTGCGTATTCGTTAATAGTCTTCTGCGAGCGCACGCACACACACGGCAAAGAGCCAGTTGCTGGTGTCGTTCAGCGTGAGCAGCGCAGCACTTTGCACGACCGGCCTGGCTGAGCGCGCGACATGTTCTGAAGCGCGCGTGAGGGCGTCCGGGGGTTGGCTGAGAGAGCGAGCACTAGCGAGCGGCGGCGCCGACCACCAGCAGCGTCTACCCCCACCCAGGGCCGCTCCACAGCACTTTGCTGCTACCCCCAGCAGACGCACCAACGGAGCGTAGAGTCCCGGGGCCATCGATCGCGACGCAGGGGCGGGGCGAACCCAGCCGCCATGCTGCGCCAGCGCAACACTGCCACCGCCAACGCCGACAGAGACAGACGCGCGGCAAAAGCTCGCTCTCGGTCCTTCCCATTCTGTCGGATGCTTTTTTGCGGTCGGCGGCGCCGCCGCTGTGCAGCTCTCGGTTGCACGCGCCGCCGCCTTTCTTTCTCCATGTGGCTCTGTGTCCCTGTGTGCGAAACGTCAGTCTTTTGCAAGCGCTGCCTACCCAGTGAGCGCGCGCGGGCGTTTGTTTGGTTGCCAAGATTTCGAAAAGGCTTACTTGCTGGCTTGGTCGCTGACGTTTGGCCGGGAATGGGCATTTAATGCTTTTTCAGGGGGGCTTCTTCCGCTTGTGGAAACGATAACGGCTCTTGCAAAGCGCGGGACGCCGACGAGAAGCGCGAGCTCCGCTATCGTCTGATCGGGTGGCGCCTGAAAAACTATTTAGAGTTGCCGCGGGCTTACGAACATTTTTCGCGGCCGTGGCCGCTCACACGAAACCTCCCCGGTGCCTGTTACCCATTCGCTGCTCGAGGCTTCGCCCTTTACGGCTCTCGGCCTTTTAATATTTCAAGCCGAGTGCCTAGGATATTAAAAAGCTCGTGCGCTCGCTCTCCTCATTATCGTCTCGAACGCGCAACAGGCGTCATCGCGCGGCGTCATGAAATATTTTCCGATCGCAAGCACTGCCCTCCCGTAGATTTGCCCCGATCAATTTTTCAACGACGCTTGTGTTACGCGCGTTATACATCCTTCGATTTTCGTTCTCCTCCCGCGGCGTTTTCGCCTATATCTCTTTCAGGAGGGTAGGCGACCCGAGAAAGCTCGACGATGTAAGCGATGACATCTCTTTTTTCTGACTTCGTTTGCTTTTTATTCGCGGCTCTCCCCGATCAGATAGAGCTGTCGGTCTGAGTTTTCTCCTTTTTTTTTCGCCGCACGTGTTGTTGTTTGCCGTACTGGGCATATATATCACGTGGTTAGGAAAAGGCCTTAGGGTTAGCAAAAGGCAGCTTTTTCCGGGCACACTTTCCAGGCTGAGTGGCTTGCATTATTGATCAATCGCTGAGATATTTCGTCAATTAGAATGTAATAAAGGAGAGCGATTGCGCCACCACGTGCGGCCTTGGGAAACGGCTGTAATCCGGTCTTTGCATTCTAATGGCCTTATTTCTCCTGCGGAAATTTATATCTGTCGATTATGTAGGAAATAAACAAAGCGTTGACGAGAGAAATCATCAGACTTGAACGCAGCGTATTAGGCTCTTAAGCGTCCCAAATCAGTGATCGGACATTTCGCAAGCGTATAGTCCAGTTTTAATGAGCGTCGTCGAAACATAAGAACACGACCAAGTATTGATGTCACATGGGGACTCGAGCTCGTCCGAGCTAGTGGGATAACTAATGGAAAGTAATGTTAACAAAGACGTTGAAAGCTATAAGGATAAATGTTTGAGCTCACGCGGTATACATGCTGTTGGACGATTTCAATAGTTCTCGTGCGGGTGCGTTATTCGTTTTCAAAAGAAAAGCTCAAGTCACGATTGCTTTGCTTTGGGCACTTTGCTCTGCGCCCGTCTCGCTTGTTCACCTGGTGCTCGCTCTCGTGGTGTGTTTTCAAACTCAATTTTTGCGTGTTGGGCTAACAATCGTCTCTTTGATTGATTCTTACTTTTTTCCGGTCCAACCAAAGACACTCGTATTTCTGCCATGCGTAACCAAGTCCTTGGTACAAGCAGCAATGACAGTAACAATCTCGGCAGAGATAGACGAAACTGCACTCTAGGCTCGAAGTTGCAGTGCAAGAAAATGAAAAGGAAGAAAGAAAGCGGAAAAAAACAAAAGGCCAAAGCTCATGAATGGTTGATGTCCGGCCGAAACGTAATCTCTCCGAAAACACAACGCGAGATAACCTCGACCTACCGGCGCTTGCAACCAAAAAGGACGAGTGTGTGCGTGCGTGTGTGCACGCGTGTGCATGTGTGGGTGTGCGTGTGGAGAGCAACTCACTCGCTCTCACGTCCGCGGTTTTCTGGCCGCGAGGATAAATTTTTACTTGGCTTCTCTCGTGCTCCTATAGCAATTGCGAGCCGACGGGCGGTGGCGGTGGCGGCGCAACTGCAGCCACGAAGCTGCAAGTGGCTTGAATCATTGATGGCTTCACCAACAGCAGCAGCAACAGCACCAGTAGCCCCGGTCATCCTGCCGAGAGAGAGAGAGAGAGAGAGAGAGAGAGAGAGAGAGAGAGAGAGAGAGAGAGAGAGATGGAGAGAGAGGGAGAGAGGGAGAGAGAGGCGATAACACCGGCCCCACGGGAACCCTCGGCAATATCCGAGCCCGCAACGTCAACGCCAAGGAACTAGCCAACCTCCCCTCTCCGTCGCTTTCCGAAGATAATGAACAGAGGCCTCCCCGTGATATGGCCGACACTATGATGCATAAAAATGGACGCTCCGTGATGATTTCTCGAAAACGACGGCCGTCTCGCTACGAGAGGATTGGCTGGAAGAGCATCTGGGTTCAGTCGGATAATTAAAAATGAAGGAAAATGATGTGCGCGGAAGCTTAATGCGGAGCTTTCGACGTGTTGCAGCAACAAACTGGTGAAAAAGAGAGTAGGAGAATACGTAGCTGGCAATTATGTACGCACGCCGTATAAGTAATGACTACCGAAGCAGTCATTAAATACGATCACCGCTCGGAAACTCGAAAGTCTCGTTGGCTGTAACGACGTACAAACGATTATTAAAACGATGCCGTAATAAAAAGCTACTCACCATTACCAATCAACCTACCGAAAGCTGGCCCATGCATACCCTCCTTCGCGGTAAAGATACGACGGTTTTGTGAATATCGAGTTTTTGAGAAGGGTTGCGCCACGCACAAACATATGGTTTTTTGGGTGCCAAGTTATTAAGGTTTCTGAAGTTAATTTTCCCGTTATTATAAGACGATTAAGAGACAATTGCGGATTCAGAAGTGTGTATATTGTTGATGGTCCTGCGGGCGCCAGGAAATACGTTTATCGATGAAGATTGTGTTTTGGGTGTCTCATCACCGTACACAGTTGATAATGGTAGCAATGGTATGTGAATAAAAATTCTATTTCCCATTGCAATAATTGATGTTGAGGCTGTATAATTGGCTTTGTTCTAGCAGGTAGGAGTGGCGTCTCAGCAAGTCGATATCACTAGCCGCCTTTATTATTGAAGAAATATTAAACAGCAGTGTAGGTATTCGTTAGATATACAATGTAGATTAATGGTCGACGCAAACGAGAAACGAGGTAGGGGACAAAAGAAGCAGGTAGACAAATGTCAGCTGCGGAACTGAACGATTGCGCGATCAACGATCGAGCTACCGACGACATTAAACGCCATGTATTAGCACCATTCGGAAGCAGCCAACTTTGTCGTGTAAGGTGTGCACGTTTGTATCAATGATGCAGAGGCCGCGCAAGTTGCGCGCGAGAAAAATCGCACTATGCTTTCTTTTCCATAAGGAAGCAATAGAGCAAGTTGCTGTGTAGTTGTACAATCGATATGCTCACCGCACGCGATTAGAAGCGCTCGTCTTTTTCGTGCTCTCTGCGTAACTTGCAGCCGCCCTTCTGAGAATTTCATCGGATAAGCGGCCTAGGATAAACGTTGAGAATATAAAGCCGCCCCGTACACAATTCTACCTTTCTACAGTGAGACTTCTCATTATTCGGCCCAGAACGTTCGCCAATTAAATGTTGTCTTATGCTACACAGCAGTACTTATTCGCTTTAACGATTACAGCCGGACAGAAAAGTTCGAGTATGGCAATTAAAATGATCGCAAATATCGACAAAAAAATTTTTATGTATAATTGACAATCGACGTAAAGCCATGTTTAAAACTCGAAAACAATGTAATTGACGCTTTGGAAATGCAGCTCGGAAAAGAAAAGGAAACTTTTCCCAGATGCCCCCGCTAACAAGCTTTTAATTGCGGGCATATGTAGAGCGCATAATTGCGATAATTGCTCTGAATTTCCACGCGCGTCTGCGTGAATTTTTCAATAACATGCGTGAGTTGTCGAGTGTCGACGAGATCATCGTCATCGCAGATACGCAGAGCCGCTCTGTCTTAGCAAAAAGTTTCCTCGGAATAAATAAGTCAAGGAATGTCGCGTGGTTGTGATTGTCGCTCACTTTCTTCTCTCTTTGATAGTTACGTCATTGTTTCGGTAGCTCTGCTTCATTATTCATGGATCGCGACTTTGCGAGCGTGTGCGTGGGATTTCTGATTGAAATGAAAAAGTTATTTCACCAAGAATGTCTCTTAGTTCCCTATCCCTCGCGTGAAGCGGTCAACGCCAGGATGACATTATTACATGATGAGCGTTCACCGCGCGTATTCATGCTGAGAAATGTCATTCTGACATTGGAATTTACCTTTGCGAAAATTAGCCGAGAAAAACGAATATTTTTGTAATAATAAATAACGGAACTTACCAGGGGACAGAAGCAAGCAACGCCGCACATCCCACCTACGTCATCGACGGCCCTGCGTTACATTAGCCTAACAATCCACAGTGCACGCGCGTGTGTTCGCATGCACATAGCCGTGTCAAATGTTTGCAGCATTAGCTTTGTTAGCATAGTCCATAGTTAAAGGAGGGGACTCTGCGCCAGTGTTTTCCCACCCACACACACGTGCGAGCACGTCGGAGACAGTATTGAGATTGCCAAATGAGAGAACACACCAATCGAGTACACAGGCGAGCTTTCATTAGCGCAGCAACGCCGCTGTTTGGGTGCGTCTCCCTTCCCCCGTCATAAGAGAAATACTCGTCGTCTCGTTT